AATAAATGTGCGCAATGCTTGCCTCAAGCATGTCATGGACCAATATTTATATAGACTCAATTGCGCTGACAGCGCCTTAGGTATTTGAAGCTGTCTCATCCGCCACATGAGTGCATCCATGCTGTGGCCCATGGGTCAGGTAGCTCCAGCTTTTGACCCCTCCAAACCTTTCGAGAAATACTCGATCAGGTAAACAAAATGGCTGCAGACTGAATGTTTCAAGAGGTTTGATTTTAAGCTCGACTCCTTAAAAAGAAATCACATCTTCATCTCCAAACATCTCGAAAAAAATTTGCTTGTCACCCAAGTCCGTAATGTAGGAAACAGGTCAGTTGGACGGGGCTGTTTGGACTTCAGAATGCTAGTACGCACCTTCCAAAGGTTGCCCTTTAGGCTTTGGCCTTTGGGCGGCATCCATCACTCAAGGCCTTGGAATGGTGATCCATCATCAAATCGCAAGTTTATCAAGCAAAGGGCTCTCAACTTCAACACAGACCGTGTGTCTTTTATTCACCCACATATATTTGAAGTTTGCAGAGTGCTCGATTTTCTGTCTATAGCACAGGCACATGCAAAGAAGCAATTGTGCACCTGCGCCAGCCACACAAAATGGTATACCCCATCACAGAGTTTGTAGTTGAAACTCCGTGCTCAAATGCTGGAAGTGCGCTCTCAAGTGGTTCTTTTGACCCCTGGAGTGTCCAACACTACAAACTATATAGACGACTTGAAAAACACGGGTAGACATCACAGTGAAAACAATCTGTCGATAGAGAGGCAAGTATATACCAAAGCTTTGAACCACAGCATGGTTGCCACACATTCCAGGTCTTTGCACACAGCCATAGCCATGAAAGACATGTCTGCTGCACGTCGTGTCCCCCCAACCAAAGCGTCTTTTGTACATACAAGAGTGTTGTTACCTGACATCTTGCACAGCAAAGACACGCTAACATCTAAAGCGCTGGCCGTGCTCTACAAATGTTTCTATGTACCGACTCAACGGGACTGGAGAATGCGCAAGGCCTCCCAACCGCTAGTCCTGATCTCCTCAGACTTGTCCATGATCTCGGTATAGCACGTGTCCACAAAGTCCCCAATGTCAGCGTAGGTGTCATCATGAAGCTGCTCATCAAACCACAACGCCTCCAGTAAAAAGTCATCGAATTATTATAGTAAATACCACGATCGAGAAACGTACATATTTGATTGCACCAACCATGGTGATCAATATCAATTAATAAGCCAAGGGACAAGTTGCTCTGCTGACTTGGTGGCCACAAGAAGGTTCTGCTTCGCGGTAGCATCGGGCGAGTTGTAAGCAATGGTCACAACATCCTTCTTGAGCGCTCGGGAAGTCAGGCCACATGAACATCTGGGCCAGTAGATGTTGTACCTTATATGGACAGAGTTCTGCAAGTGATGCTTGGCCAAGGACTTGAACTCAAGCGTGCAAGGCGAGGTCATCTCCAACTTGACGTTGTCGTAGTAGTCAACAAGCCGCTGGACCATATCAGCATCAACACCCTCCGTGCCATTGGAAGGCCTGGCCGGTGGTGCAGCCTTTCGCTTTGCGTTAGCTGCCTGGCCAGTTGATGCCCTGCCCTTTGCTTTGGCTTTGGCCTTGGTTGTGGCCAAGGCTTTGGCCTTGGCCTTGGCCTTGGCCTTGGGCATGCCTTTGCCCTTTGACTTCGCTCTTGAGTCTGCTGGGGACTCTGCAGCGACATTGGACTTGGCCCTCTTGGGCTTGGCACTTTCCTTGGCTTTGGGAGCTTTGCGAGTCTTCCCTGAAGAGCCACGGGCGCCCGGTTCAACTTCCTCAGCACCCTGGGACTTCTTGGACGCACTGCGGGAAGCCTTCAACACGGACCTCTTGCGGCTCTTCATGGGAGAAGGAGCCTTCTTGGAACGTTTCCTCTGCCCCTTCTTTCCCTTCTTCTTTCCCTTCTTGCACTTTCCCTTGCCGCGTGTGTCCTTCCGATTCTTCTTGAAGCAAAGCTGGTCATCGCGGCTGACAAAGGTGACACTGCCCATGGGTTCTTCACGGATATCGGCCTCCTGAGGGAAGAGCACACAAGAAACCAAAGTTTGTCTTACAACGCTGCTGTCGAACACAAAACAACAAGCAAACAAATCCACCATTCCGAACCTTGTTGTCCAAAGGTGGAACAGGACCAGTAGATCCAGGAACTGTGCCAGATTCGGAGGTCTCCTGAATCTCGAGAGGCTTGTTCTGATACTGCTGCCTCCTCACGTCAGCCGGTACTTCCGGAGAAGTTCTCTCTGGTGTGGGCACCAGCTGTGGCGAAATTGCCATGATGTCGACCGGCTGTGTCTCCACGTTTGAACCCACAGCTTTTGCAGAAGGGATTGAGCCTGCACACGATGAACTATATATAGTCAATTTGGATATATAGACATCATGCCACTATTCGAATGACCCCAGGCATGTTATACTGTTCAATGCAGATGTTCTTCAACATGGATCACGATCAGTGCCTGCGCTCTCAGGGGCGAGTCCCAACTTGGTGGCCAAATCGTCCAGAATTTGGTGCTCTCTCTGAGGCACTGAGGGCTTCCCTGAAGCACTTGCCTCAATTGCCAATCGTTTTTCGCGAAGCCTTGGTGGCAGGTATATATATAGACAAACTTACAATTCCTGGAAATTTAACAGAAGCAAATCCCAAAAGTCATGAATTGAAAAAGACCGCAAAAAACTCAGGTCTTGTCTTCTGCAAACGTAGTTGGGCTTCAGCAATCCTCGTCTTCACATCGGATTCGCTGCCTGGATTTTCACAACAACTGCCAACAAGGCAAACAGCACGAAACCAACAGAAATTCAGCAAGCTATACAAAACATCACACATGATGCATATGCCATCACGTGCCGACCAGGCTGCAAACAACCGTGGATGTCTGCTTTTCAGAGGGCTTCGGGTCACCCGACTCTGACACCGCAGGCCCATTCTGCACAGGCGCGGGCTCTGGCACAAAAATGGGTTGACTCCCAGGATGAGGAGGGGAAGCCGCACGGGGACGCGCAGGTTCTGGAGTTTTTGGCGGAGGTTGAAGCAGGTCTTCAACGTCAGACTCTCCTCCATAATCATCAACAGCCCTGACGTCATACTCATCCTCATCAGCATCTAGGTCTTCCAATGCCTGCCCAGTTCTTTGCAACAAATGTATCGACACGGTATAATTACACCCCATGCAAAAAGATACTTACCCCAAACGGTCAACTTATATATAAATATATACAAGTCTATATGCCCAGGCCTGTGATGACGCAGAAGCCTTCCGGGATTCGACCTTTTCGTTGATCTGTTTGACCAAGTCCTGGAAATGTGGAGGGACAAATATAGTGCAAAACCAAACTTATATATATATATACATGGCGATCAATTGGAGAAAGCAGGTTAAGCGATTCACTCCTGAAGTTCTGGAGCAAGCACCAAGATCATTCTTTGGAAAGTGCGGTCCTCAAATTGTTAATTGAATTGGGAACTTGCAAACCTGAAGGGAATGATTCACAAAGGTTGTGGTCACATGATTGCTGTGTCTTTATTCAATTCTTATAACCGAGTATCTATTGAGGGCTCGCAACGTCTGATCTTCAGCTTGATCAGAGCAAGATGTTTGCGAATGAACCAGCCGTCTGCAATGATGGTCGTTGCTTGCACCTCAAGTTTGTTCATGTCGTACACTTTCGTAATCTCGTCCCTGAGTGAGTGCACGTCTGGGAGCTTTTGAGTGGGAGACTCTTTCATCCTGTGGAGCAAGGGAGTCAAAAGAGCCTCGTTCTGAGCAGTTGTTGCCACATTGATAACCTCATTGCCTACACGAAGTTTGCCATCGTTTCGAAGGCATGAACGAAGAGCCTCATTTCCATCCCAATCCTTGCTGATCCCTGTGGCCTCCACCCGATCCCGAACAGCTGTACTCATGCCAGCTGCTGAAAAAGAGCACAAAAAGTTCCCACAGATTTGAGCCAAGCACTGTCTTCCACTATAAAAAATGTTGAGTGCAAGGACACAACTGAAGAACATGTGCACTTTATATAGATCTCAAATTGAACTGCCGCAGATTATCCACTTCACATCTTCCAATGTCTCGATCCGTTCTGACCACTCAGGCGTGGGCTCAGGTGATCACAGGTTGTGCTCCGGACTATATAGTGTGACTTCACACTTCAGCACGATCTCTTCAGGTGATACACTAATATGTTGGCTAAACGATATACATGTAACAGGTTGTGCGGAAAGCATGTTGTCTCTTGTTTGTCCTCTTTGACTGTCTATGCTACGCGGATGTATATGTTTTGTCAAACGTCATTCAACAGCTATATATGAGGTGCTCTTTATAGTGTTCATACCTCCAAAAATCTTGAGAGCGGCAACACAATCTCTCAAAATCAAGCTGGGCAATCACCTGGCTGGTGGAAGAGAAGAAAACCAAGTTTTTTTCAAGGAAACCGGGTTTTTGGCTGGAAGGCTTCTCAGAACCGGGTTTTGAGATTGTAACCTACTTATTTTTAGGTTGTGGGTTCCCAAGGTAGGAGTGGGGGGGGAGGACGGGACCGGCCATGTGAAGAGGATGAGGCAGAGGCAGAGGATGGCATGAACATGAAGTTTTGTGGGCATCATTGGACCCTGGGAATTGACATTGTGGTGGTTTAGACCATGTTCCTCGAACAAAAACCCAGTGGTTTTGAGGTTCCATGTCGACCCCTGCAGGGTCATCCAGACCGCCTGTCATCCCCCTTTGTGACCTTTTGAGAATGGAAGCCGACGGACTTCAGTCTCACTAGACCTCATTCGCTATATAGCATATATTCCTATAGTAACTATGGTGGAGGCCATTCGCTATTAGGTTGGAGGCCATTCGCTAGAGTAACAATCAAGCTGTCTAGAGACGTCGACGACCGTCTGCCAGTATGCTACGAACTCAGACGACGACAGAGACGGTACGAACTCAGAGGTCCAGGTCTGGTTCGGCCACAGGTTTACATTGCCTTCTGCCTCTTCGCGGTGCTTGGGCCAACGATCGGCCCGCGATTCTCGTGGCCATCGGCCCTGGGCGAGACGCCATGGGGGGGAAAGCTTCCTTCAATGGCGCAGAGTCTCGGGACTGGAAGTTCGTCACCCAGGGAAGAAGAAAAGCATTTTGCTATACCATCCTCACTGGCCATGGCCAGATCTCCTTGAGTCGAGGGTTGCGAAGGGCCCTAAGAGGTCTCAAACGGTGACCTGTTTGAGGATGCTGTTACCTCTTAAACTTATATTTGTTTTGGTGCTTGGTGCCTTTTAAACTTGACACTCCTTGATTTGGTTGGATGATCTGGGTGCAGCACTGCAAATTTGAGTGATTCCATGGCTCAATTAGCTAGCACAGAGGAAGATATATACTTGCATGGAAGCAAAAGGATCCCACAGAGGAGGACGGCTCAAGATTCAGAGATTTGTGCAGGACATGAAACCAGGCACCTCCAAATGACAGGTCTTTGGTTGGCATTTGAGAATACTTGAATCAAGTATAGCCTGTGGTTCAGCCCCATCCGCTGTGGTCTGGGTTCATGGCTGGGCCTTGATCAGATTCTGGAGAGTGACTCGACGACGCCGACCGACCGAGCTACATCCCCCAGACACTTCCCCTGGTTCAAAGACCCCGATGGATGTAACCCGGAACCCCGACAGACCGTTCGTACCTTAGAAGATGGGACATGGATGGACATGGCTTCACCCCAAGTTCAGCAGCTACGACGTCGTCGACTGATCGACTCCAGGTACTTAGATACCTGGAGTCGACTCCAGGTATCTAAGATGCCAGTCTATAGCCAGTCTATTCGCCGCATCCATGTGGGATTCCGAACCGGATCCACCAGTACCGGTTCGGTCGAAAAACGACTCGGAGCTCCTGGATCCGGTTCGGTTCCTGGCACCGTTGAGCCTTGTCCCATGGTGGATCCCTCGCGGTGAAGGCCGAGAGGACATCCGAAGACTGGGGCGAAGCGGCGAAGCCGAGCACACCCGGTAGACAGGGCCTTTTTGGGGGGAGCTCCGGATGCTCCGATCTGGGAGAGGAGCCCAAAGGGGATAGTAGAGAAGGACCATGATGATTTCATGTGATTTCCCAGCACTTGTAGCTCCGGATGCTCCGATCCATGCACGGTGAAACTGCATGACTGCATGAACATGTTGCAAGTATGACGCTCCGTCACCAGCGCTCTTGCCCTGCTTTCAGGTGCTGAATGTGGCCTGGCTTTGTTTAAGATGTTTTTCTTTGCTCTTTCACCTTGGACTCTTCAAGGGATGAGTCTTTTTTCCAACCAAAACACTTGGTGTGGACTTGGAACCTGAGTGACCTCTATGTTGCACCACCAACCTCCAAAGATATGGTCCAACGGTCCAACGTATGCCTACATTCACCCCTTTTCAACCACCCCTCAATGTTTGGCATCTGAGTACCATGGAGCTTTCTGCTAATATGTTGCACCGAGGTGATGACCGGGGTGTACTTTGGACAGCACTGAGATGGGACCAGTAGCCGCGATGGGGAAGATAGACTTGGGATGGAGTACAGGAAGTGTAGGAAGATGACCGCCTATAGATGTTGATAGGGTTCAAAAGGCTTGACAAGGTGGGACTGGGCAGCGGGGGGTTGTCCCTACTTTCTGAGATGGGACACGGGAATTGGAACTCAGAGGCTGTTGGACCGATGCTCCTGGACCTTCACATGGAGGGATTGGTCCGGGTCTGGGGTCGAACCACCCCCGGGCAAGGGCTGTGAACGGAGCGTTTGGGTGGTTGCCTGAAGTAAGGCTGGCCTTTGGGAAAGTCCAGGTTCCGGCACGGTCTGTGGCACGGTCTGTGGCACGGTTGCGCTCTCATCGTTCCCCTGTGGATCCTTGTGTGAGGATCCAGGCACCCTTCTCAGAATGCAGTTGGACGCTCCAAACCGACTTCTCTCAGGGTATGCGAACCTGTAGGAACTGATTGGCCACATGTGCCCCCGTGAGTTGGAGACTATTGTGAAGACATGTCGTTGTACAACCCTGTAAAATGTTATCAGCACAGTGCTGGCACCTGGGACTACAGTGCTGGCACCTGGGACTACAGTGCTGGCACCTGGGACTCAGCGACTGTCTTGTGGCTGTAGCCAATTCAAGTGGCTTTATACCATACATTCCTGAAATCATCGTGGAAGTGGCCCCTTGGATGACAATGTTCATCCATTTTCCAAATGCCTTAAACAGGTGGTGTTCCACCTCCATGACAAACAAAAGTGCAATATATTCATGGCTGAATTTTCTTTTATGTTTGGTCTACTTGGCTTCGACGTGAGACCACCGAGGGAAGTTCACACCTTTTTCCCTCAGTCTCCTTAGTTGTCTCATGTTGTCTCCTCCAAGACCCTCCTGTCGGGGCGTCTAAATATTGCCCCCAAAAGCTGTTAAGGGGTGTCCATTAACCACCCCGACTGGGGTGTCCTGGCTTATGTCCTCCGTTCCAGTGCTCTTTGGTCGCTTCCTGCAACCGAAGCCCATTGTTTGGCCCCCCCCAAAACGGCGTATAATACGTTTGTATGAAAGCTTCCAAAAACTCCATCACCTCATATATCACCTCTCTCATCGTGTTGTTCTGGACCTTTCGTTCCTTCGTTCCGGGGTGGCCCTGAAAGCAGGTTGATCGCGGGGGCGGCCCTGAGGGATCTGGAAGAAGCTCCCAAGAACAACTGAGCAGCTTCAAAAACCTCTATGATGAAAAGTGTGCAAACTGTAATCTCACATTCTTTCGCGAAAGCCAAAACGCAGGTCGCGAAAGGTTCGCGAAAGCCCCGCGAAAGAACCCCAGAAGAACAGCGTCGCGAAAGCTTTCGCGAAAGTCGAATTTCTTGTGCATGTCGTGTTGTTTATGTGGGTGACCATATTTTTATGCAGGCAGCCGCAGCAGGCCAGCCAGCCAGCCAGCCGCAGCAGACCAGCCAGCAGCAGCAGCAGCACTGAAGAGCAAGTGTTTCAGGGGAAAATCGAAAAGCCCAGACGAATTTGCGCGAAAGCCGCGCGAAAGCCTCGCGAAAGAACCGCGAAAGTCGAAAATATCCGGGAAAGGTATCTGGCCCCAGCAAAAAGTTTCAGCAAGTTTTCCTCCTCTTCTGATGACAACAATAATACTTGAACGGTGCTGCTACAACTCCTTGTGCCAGGATGTTGCCGGAAAGAAATTTGTTCAGTTTTGACATATCGGATAACTTATATAGATCAATCACTTTATTGTACAATATCCCAATCGAATTTCCCAATCGAAAAAGAATCGCCGCGAAAGCCGCCGCGAAAGCCCCACATAACACCACACCTTCCGCGAAAGCCAGAATGCAGGCCGCGAAAGCTCCGCGAAAGCTTTGCGAAAGCAAACCTGGATTATACAAAAAAGTAATAGGGGTTTTCGAAGCTGCTCAACTGTTCTGCTCTTGCCAGGTGCCAATCCCAGACACGACCCATGCGACTGCCATAGGACTGCCGATCAATTGACCTTGCTGGCACCACCCCAATGTAGGCCAATATGGCAGTCCCATGGGTCGTGTCTGGGAGTGTTTGTCTTCCTTAGTGAATTACCACTCAGACTTGGCTTCGCCTGAGGTTCTGCCAGTCGGCCATCGAAAGTGCCGAGCGCGATCACGAGCTGATTCTGCAGAACGTGGCACATGACCGTCTCAGCGACGTTGTGCGAACGGGGCGAGGCAACCGTGGTGAGAAGACTCAGGTTGAAGAACCCTAGTTCGACTATCCCAGTTGGGTACCCCAGGTGACAGGTCCTGGTTCAGGTCATTTAACCTCTCTTGGGTGAGAAGACTCAGACTGACTCAGACTCGAATCTCACGACATGGTGAGACGTGACCAGGTCGACGTGACGACAAACGGCAGAGATCCTACTAAGCATTAGTCACCAGTCATGCCTACAGATTTACACTATTGAATGTATAGTACATCTCAGTGTGATGCAGGACTTTTGTCAGGCAATCTGAACACCGCTGCTGCCTGCTTCACTGCCTGGGTTTGCTTCGGTGATGTTGTTGTTTGCTCTCGCTAAGATGGAGACCGTGTGTTTTCTTCTCAGAAGCTTGGCATCTTCCTTGGATACAGCGGTGTTATTAGCTAGAGAATGTGACGGTCACTAACATCAGAAGCCACCCAGAAGTGATTTAGACCGAAGCAGAACCTCCAGTTGAAGCCCATTCAGGAGAAGGCTAAGTACTTCCGTGCGGTGCGGCGGCTCTTCAACCAGCTCGACCGCAACGGAGATGGAGGAGCTGAAAGTAACCACACAACCGATAAACCGCATGGTGGATCAAGTTGAACGTACCATGCCGGATGCCCGGACAGTCCCATGCCCACCCTTGAGTCGTTAGCACGTTTGAATGAACGTCCACTGAAAGAAAGATGCACACTCCATGCTGATAGTATGCTGGAATCATCATGAAAGTGGAAAACCACTGGAGACCCCCAACCTTTGGATTTGGGCTGATTTGGGTATTTGTCCATTCTTCCAGGGGGTCTTTGGGAGATCTCCCTAATTTGCTTCCTCGCTTCGAGGTGCAATGAATTTCAATTGCCATCATTAGTCGACAGTCACAGCGGATGATAGTGCCATAATGAGGCCAGGCAGATATGCCTGATTGGAGAAAAAACAATAGAATGCTGCACAAGATCCCTACCCCCTTAAGCTACTGCCGGGAGGGGGGACCTCACAAAAGTAAGTTACATTTTAGGGTACCCCCCTAGGGGGTCAAAAAATGTAAGTTACCCTCCCCCCAGGCACCATCGAAACGGGCAACGGGGGGGGGGGCAAAAAAAAATAACTTGTTGCCTGGGACGTTTTTACCACCCCCCTACTGGGGGTCGGCAGATCGAAGTGGGGGGGGTCTGGAAAATGTAACTTGCGACCTGGGATGCCTGAACTTAAATTGTTTTACCCCCCCCCTAGGGTGCGTTGGCAGATCGAAGATACGCCAATCACTAAGAAATGTTTGCCTTCTGCAGCAACAAGCCACACAAAAACAAAAAATGAGGGAACAGCAGTGGGTCTGAGTCATCATCAACAAAGAAGAACAGGAAACACACCCAGAGCAAACTGCCAAGAAGCAGGAACATATACTACCCTCTGGTGAGTAAGGATTTGTGCATCTGATGAGTGTGTATTGTGGGCACAGGAACTCCTAACGCATGTGTCTGCAGACAGGTGGATGTCCAAGGCCAGTTCTTCCAATTCAACTGCGACTTGGACCTTGGCCCAGAAAGGGATGGCGCCATCCGTCAACGCGGTCGAGACGAGAGTCTCGACCCACAAGACGGCGATCGACTAAGAGACCGAAGTGACTTAATGGTGTGCGGACAGAAATGGATCACAGAAGAGCACTGACCCGAACTCGGCCTCCAGTCGCACCGAACCTGAGAAGGAGGTGGGACGGCCCGGGTGCCCTGGTCGGGTCTAGTTATACCGAACCTGAAGAGGTACTTGGAGGTGTAGGGTGATATCTTCTGTTTAAAAACCGTTCGGGGTCCCCCCCCTTTTTTCAGCCTCTGAAATTATGAATTGTGAGTCTTCTGGAGATTGCAGCATGTAAGTTATACAAAATTGCAAAAAAGGTATGACTCCGCACCACTCCCATCCCTCCAGTCTTCCCACTCTCCATCCGTCCAGTCTTCGCCAGGAGTGTCCATCAAAGAGTTCAAGCAAGCCATGAAGGACCCCTCGCTCCATGCCATCTTTGACGCACTCGAGATCAGTGCAGGCGCAGAAGCGCGCGGCGCTTACGCCGGTCGCGCGCTGGTTTCGGTTGGGGCGGTATTTTTTGGGAGACATGACATGTTGGTTTGCCTATGGTCCTAGTAGGTGCATGGGAGGTCAGCTGAAGTACAGAAAACAAGGGACGCCTGAGACCAGCCCATCGTGACCAAAACCCATCACAAAGATCTGCCAATGCCTTCTACAGGTCCTAGAAGATCGACACCTGTTTTTTGTTTGATAGCTGGCAACTTGTATGTTTGACTGGCAGCGACAATAAGGCATTGATCCTGCTATTGGTTACCAAATATAGATAGACATGTTCTTTTGATTTGTTTTGTACTTTAGGAGATAAGCTGTTTGGTTCCAAGTCACATGTGCTTGATGTATATATATATATGTAACCTGTCATTGCACTGTGTTCCTTTGAAAGCAATCAACCCCATATCCATGCAGGAGTTTGGAACTGCAGTTCGAGCCACCCTTGCTGGAAGGCCTTTTTCCTAATGCAGAGTGTTGTTCATCAATGTTTCACCTACTATAAGCCCTACCGGTGTACAAGACACAACCTGGGAGAATGTAGAGATGGTAGATCCAGTGGACGTTCGGATTTCTAGTGGATCATTTCGTGTGCAGGTCGACTGAAGTCGACTTGGGGTGCCTCCAAGTCAGAAACAGTACATGTAGATGGGATGTCGGTTTTGTACTCAGCTGAATTGTGCACGTCGAACCCCAGTGAACTCAGTTCCACCGCCCCCCTTGGGACGTTGGACGATCGGATCAGCGTGATCACCGACCAGCTCAGGTGATGCATGGGCTCTCTTTACCCAGTTGGATCGTGCCTGGGGCCGTTGAGGTGGTTCTTTTGCCATGCGCTAAAATGGACCTCGCTCTTTCGGGTGATGGGTCTGATGTGGTCAGGGGTTTCTATGCATCACGTCAAGGAGAAAGACCCACTGCCGACATGTAGCTAAGCTTCTAAGCTTCTTTTGCCCAATGCTTGTGGAAACCTGTTCTCTAAGCTTTCCAAATGATACCCGCTTTCCTGTCTCAATTTATATAAATACGTCATACGTGCGAGGTGAATTGCTTTCCAAGTGTTTCTTTCCGACTGTGACATGTTTTCAACCACTGAATTGAATGCGAGATGTGAATTTTGGGCAAGCAGTTTGTTTAACAGAAAACCTCAATCTTACAAATCTGTTGGACAACTGAATCCCTTTGACTCCGGTGTCAAAACTATGTCAAAACGATTTTCATGTTGTGTCGACTTTCAGCAGTTCAAGAAGATCCTCCAAAAAGCCTTCACAGTAATAGCAACGTTGATCCACACCCACACGCACACACACACAAACACGCACACTTCATCTATACCCAGACACTCCATGGGACTGCTATATTTGCCTAGGTCAATTGATCGGCATATATGGCAATCCCACTTGTCGTGTCTGGGATATACCTTATATTTGACCGACCAAGCTCGCACCGGATCCCCCACCTTCGTCGTCCCACCAGCTCGCCCAGGCGATGGAGATGCGGAGGTGAATGTGGACGAATTCCTCGAGGGCTGCATGTTGTTGAAGGGGCACCTTGCCCTTTGTTGGATTCGGTTGGAAGCCATATAGCTCTTAGGTTGGAGGATGTTGGAGGCCATCGCTGAGTAGGTTGGAGGCCACCCTCGGTCACACGGAGGCTCTTCCGGGTTCTTAGGTTCCTAGACCCGGTGTGTGGTGGGACAGTCTGGTCCAACGACACGAGGGTCTTACAGCGTTCGCTGTCATGGTGTTCAACACGACATGGTGTTCAACACACACGACCGGCGTGTGGTGAATCGCGCGGAGCCGGATCATCAGGTGTCTTTGGTCCTTTTGGTGTTCCCCAAGAGCCACATTTGTCCGCATGAGACAAGTGACCGTTGGCAGCACCCTGTTGAAAGGTGTAAGAGACCTTCCACAACATGGATGAGACCCCAACAACTGATTGATCTCTGAGTCGGGCATTTTGGAATAGAAAGGTCAAGCTGGAATCCAAAGTGTCTCCTTGAACTTTCTTGGTTGTTTAGGGAGTGCGCTACATACTGTAAGCCAAAACCCAGAAACTGGATAATGATTGGATATGATTGGATGGCAAACACATGGGATCCACGGGCATTGCACCTAAATCTCTCAGCCATGCGGCCTTCACGCTTGACTGGAGTTTCTTCCCGAACTATTCATAGAGGACAGCACAATACTCCGATGCCAGGTCTTAAGTATATAGTGTATATATACTGTACATACCTGGATCTTCCAACTGCACACAATGTCTGCCTTGTCATCCATAAAACCAACCCAAAGGACAGACATTTTGCATAGTTGGAAGATTCAGACATATATATATATATATATGTTTGTATCGAGGTCAGTCTGTGGCCCATGCGAGGTCACCTCGCCCGTCCTCGCCCTTAGGCCAGCGAGGTCCATCGATGTGATCGGCATCAAGAGAGACCTCATGAGACTTCAAGACAGGCCAGGTGTTGGCAGCAGTGTCCTTCGCGTTTTTTGGGGTTGCGGTTGTTTTGGCGACTGGTGGCAAATTTGGGGGTCAACCCATGGCCTAGCTGGGCTGGTGAACAAGCTGGAAGATGATTGCAACTCGAACCTTGAGCTCGGGTGTGGTTTTCACAAGATCTAGAGTTGGTGTGTTGTCGGGATTCCCTGCTTGTCGGATCCAATCTTCAGCCGATCATGCCTGGTGACTGTCCTGAGATGAGAAGGTAGTGTCATGTAGTGTCAAAGCCCCCACCGCCCACCCCAACCACCCAACCCTGTCTATCAGTGTTCTATCAGGGATACCATTTGGTGCCCATGGAACGCCATGGAAGACAGGGCCCACATGTTCCTTCTCCCTAGCCTTCAAAGACCATCAAAAGAGTTCGGTTGATCGAGTTTTGTAGTCAAACATCCTTAGTGAAGCAATGGTCGTTTAGGATTTAGGATTCAGACCATTAAAACATCATCATCGTTAAACATGTTTGATTCCCCGAGTCGGGGAGAAGGGATTTCAGGTCATTTCCACCTCACGTCACCCTCCACATGTTGGCCCTCCATGACCGGTCGGACCGTGACGACGAAGATCCGACGTCGATGATGAAGATCCGATGGGACGAAAGAGCACAGTGATCGACTTGGAACCCCAACGAGCCCATCACCGGCTCCAGTCGTACCGAACCTAAGGTTTGGTGGGACTAAGGTGGGTGCCAGGAGGGTCCAGTCATACCGAACCTGAGGAAGTACGACTGGAGCCCTAGGGTCATGGGTGGCGCATTGGCCAACATGACTGGTGGTTTTGGGTGGTGAGCGGCTCGGCCGATGATCATGTCACATATTTGCGCCATGGATCTTGTGCGGAGTCGCCACCCCAGTAAACTACCGTTTCACAGTCAGAACCCTTCTGAAGTCCTGAAGTCCTTCAACGATCGTGGCCCATGACCTCGGAGTCTCACGGTCTAGAGTCCTCCCAATACCCAGACACGACCCATGGGACTGCCATATATGCCGATCAGTTGGGGTGGTTTTGTGGGTCAATGTAGGTATATATGGCAGTCCCATGGAGTGTATGGGATATGGAACCTCCGGCCTGGATTGGTCCACGGTCCACGCCCCACGCCCGCTGGGGGGCGCTCCTTTAACCGGCCAGGATGGATACCTATGTCAACGACGTGAGCGACGTGAAGCGCATCGTGAGCCGACCCCTGAAGATCTCCACACGGTCCTCCTGACACCCGAGGGCTGCGGCGGATCGGGTCGGGTCCGGACGAGCCTCCGGACGATGGACCGGCGGTGGAGGTGGTGGGAGGAGAAACGTCGACGTCACCGGCGAAATGGTCCGATGAGTCACGGCTGAGACCGACGTGGCTTTAGACTGTGGCAGGTGGTGAATGGTGGTGACCTGCCAGTTGTGGGGTGCAGTGCTAGTACGGCATACGGTATAGAGAAGGAATATGAAGGAATCATGAGTAATGATTGACTCCTGGACCTGAATCATCTCGAGGGATCGGACCCGAATCCTCTGGAGGGGTTTGGGTTTTCAAATCCCTACTATATCCAACAGTGGGTGCTGGGCCAGGAGGGTTTAACGCCCGAGGAACCCTTGTGGGACAGGAGGCCAAACGGGCAAGTGGGGTGGCAAATGAGTTCGATTGGCCAAGAAAGACCCAGAAACACCGAGTGAAACCAAGGATAAGCCTGGTCCGGGTCTACCAGCAGCCTCCTGACCCTGCAAATCCACATACCCTCTCAGAAGGTACTTGGATCTCCATGCCCATGCCTATGTAAAAGATGTAAAAGTGTCTCCAGTCATCTTCTCCATAGGGATGGGTGGCCTCCTTTCAGCACCGCGTCAAGTCTACTGACTACTGATTCCCCACCTTGTTCTTTCAGACGTTGGAACCGGATTGGCCGCACCGGATGGTGTCCGACCGTCGATGCTGAGAAATCGCAGAATGGTTTCACTCCGAAGTCGCTTTCACCAAAGGTGACAGCCCAATCGGCCAGACTCACGACCGATGGATATTTGGGGCACACAAGATCGCTGACACGGCAAAGCTTGGAGATTTTGACTTCATGCCAGAGATGTTCTTGTCTATGGTTGTCCCACCTTCACAAATCATAATGTGACTATATTGGGACCAAAGATTCTCGCGTGCAGGTGAAGTGTAGTGGAGATCCTATGCTTGGAGCGTTTTCAGGATTTTGTTCTGGGACGTCACCCAGTCCCTTGTGTTTGGCAGCCAACGTGGAGTACATGCGAGTATAGATTGAAAGGATGTTTTCATTCACAAACAGATGATAGACGATAGATGCCTACTGGCACACGGGTTCTGCTGTGAGTTCTGGCCAGATTGATCGACCCCAATAGGGGGACCCTATGGGGTAATGTCTTATGTCCTTCATGGGTGTCCTTCAGTTTGTGGCTTTCAACCGGAGACATGCCGCCTGTTGCCCCCTGCCACTTTCGAGCCGGAGGCCGTGGACTTCAGGTTTCAGGCAGAACTCCTCTTCAGAAGTAACACCAAACCTGGAGAACAGTTCGAAGAAAGGCAACTAAGAAAGGGAGAACAGTTCGGATGTGGCATTGCACCTTCTTCAAGTTCCTCCAAGTAGATGTGACGCCCCCAAAACCCAGAACTTTGGGTCCAGATGTCCATTCACAAGTAAATTCAAAGGATGCCATAGCTCCACGAACGGTGGCAAACCTGCAATAGATGGTGCGGGGTTGAACATCTCTGCGCTACCCAACAAAAGGTACCATCAGGTGTAACTAGCTCGAAAATGCGAAAGGACACCCAGGGGCGCAGTTTTCGCCTGGCTTCTTTTGAAGCAGGGTCAGTGGATTTCGCTGCCCTGAGACCCGAAGTGCTTCGGTTGAACCGCTTTCCCCATGAAAGGCGGGTGGTTTCTCGGAATGGTCAGAACCCTCAGATGAATACCGGATTCCATTCAACATGTTCTAGGGCATGACTCTGAAAGTGGCAAGTAGTACCATTTATACACTATATATATAATTAATGGTTTTGTATAATAAGTATTTGGAATCCAGTGCGGGTATCACCGCAGGTATGTAGTACCTACATACCTACCTCGAGATTTAAACTGTTTTCTTTCGACCCCCACCCCCATTCTTAGAAACATCTCGTTGATGTTTGTCATGCCTTGATTGAAAAGCGGTTACCGGTTGGTTCACGGTTGGAGCCTTCGTTCCCAGCTCCGTGTGGTCGGTTTTGTGTTCTATTCTTCGTTTGGCGTGATGTTCAGCTTCTGAGTTGTTCAACAGACAAGTCGTGTATCTAGAAGGCGAAGAGCAACTGAACAGCAGGAACTGAGTCCAGAAACATGACAGATACTGGGACAAATGCTAATTCAGAACAGAAAGGGCTTATAGAGAGCCTATAGTGAGATAAGTGGGTGCCCAGACAATGAACTCAGTTGTGACCAGGAAGAGTTTGTTGATAGCGGAGGAGTTGAAGGAAAGCCTTAAATTAGGACATTGAGTGGGTATATAAGTGGGAAGAGCTGAATAAGAGAGGGAGTTTCTCTTGCATTTTGGCTATCTTGTTAATTCTAGTTTTGTTTTTTTCTAAATATTATTGCTGTTTCCTTTACTTGATTCTTAGTAAATATTAAATTGATTTGCAGAGGCTGAAAAGAGCTAGGCAGCAACAGAACAATCTGTATATATACATACTGAAACAATAGACCTTAGAGAACTTGCGAAGAACAGATAGTCCATTCTGAAAGCAGGAAGAACCAAATGAAGGATTGTGTAAATCAATGTACCACAGGAAGCACTGAATACTTACACGAATAGGCGCCGACCAGCAACTGAAAGCAGCTAGTCAATAGAGGAACTAATTAAGCAGGGGAGCAAGAAGTTGAAGGTTGACAGATGTTGAACAGAGATCAACCACTTTATTTCTTGGATACGGCTTGAAACAACTGTCAAGCAGAAAGAGCTAAATGGTTAGTTAACTGGAACATATTTGATCATCTGCAGGAAGAGCCAAGCACTACTCACTACTGGGACCAACTAGGAAACATTGAAAAAGAACACCTAATGTCCGAAATGAAGTTAGCAGTATATTGCCAGACTGCAGCTTGCGACCGGGCCAGCTAGCTCTTGTCCATTTGGATGCGCAATGAGTTCTGCAAACACTTAGTTACTGTTTTCTTTCATACATTCTCCTTATTCTCAAGGATTTTCTTGCTGAAATGACATGGAAAACCAGCGTTTTCTTCCAGTTCAGTGAACCGATGGCGCTTCGACCCCGCCGTTTGTGTTCGCGGCCGCCTGAGGTCTATGGAACAAAAGTTGAAGGGGCTAAGCATAGCGTTTGACGTATCCGGTGTACCCATCCGCTTTCCAGGCATTTGTGATGAATCCAACAACAAAAACGATGCAGATAGGTTTTGAAGGCTTCCAAAGAGCAGACAAATTCGGCCTTTCAACACTGTAATCTAGCCTGTTTGAGGACAGTCGGCGGCCACTTTGTGGATCTCACCTGTGAGGTTTTGGGCTGATCCTTGCTGTGTACCTTAAACATACCCAGTCAGTGGATACCCTTTAACCTTTTCTGGGGAGTGGTTCCCCCACTAAACGAGCGAAACTGAATTCGAAGGAGTCAGTAAAAGAACTGAAAAGTGATCTACAATCATACAGTATCTGGGCATCTGGCATGGGTCTTTAGCCCGACCAGCTCCACCATGGGGCCGCGGTCGACCGACACCGGTCGGTACGTTTGTCCCGGCTGGTACCAGGACCCACAGCCATCTCCTGCGTCGAGCTGAACCCGGGACGTACGATCTGATCACTCCGTACGCCGTACGAAGAAACATGATATGTTCAGTCACTTAATAAGTCGTGCAGAGGGCGGGCTCCAACCATCAAACCTGGGAGGGCGAGCCAGGACCTGGGAGCCCAGAAGCTTCACCAAAGACCTTGGCAACCACTGAACCAGCGAACGCGCAGATTCCCGATCGTGTGTAATGTGGCGTACGCAGCATGGGAGCTGTGTGTTCAAAAGAGCTGACATGCAGTGGTCCCAGGTGCAGCTATTGTGTGTAGGTAGGTCACCAGGATATGTTTGCTCTCAATCTTTAGCAGTTCAGTATTTGGAACTATGGGGATTCATGTGGCTAGTATATGTTTCTGAGGCATGTGCACTATCATCTCATATAAGTGGATCTGGTTCAGGGATTCGCAGATTGAAAGTCGTCGTCGGGTCTGCAACATCTAGAGGGTCCAAAGAAAAGGCTCAGAGACTCTGATGGGACCAGTGTCTACCTGGACCCTACTTCATCGTACCTTCATCGTACCTGGATAAAAACAAACAAACAAAACACACATCTTCCCAAGAAGGTCATCGTCCCAAACAAACAAACAAACACACACATCGTCCCAAGAAGGTCATCGTCCCAAACAAACAAACAAA